AGGGAACCATCTGGCTGCCTAACGAATGCTGCAACCTCCACCTCCGCTGAAACTGAATTCAAAGGAAAAGAAAAAAAAAAGCATTTTATAAAAGTTGAAGGCAACAATTATGTGGTTGTTACTTCAGCACAGCAATAACAGCAGGTGGTTGTTAGCTTTTGTTCATTCATCAAAGCTATTTGTACCCAATCAGACATCTAGTACCCTAGTGCAACCAGGAAGACATCGTTAGTTGATTAAGCATGTGATAGAAAGAAACAATAGCTGATTTTGTAAGCTAATTTTATATGGGTGAAAACTAACTGTAACTCTATATGGGTGAAAATTAAAATGCTAATTTCTGTTACTGCCTTGTTTAGGATCTGCTAGAAACTTTTTATTTCATATAATATTACCAGTTATTTCTATTTCATGAATTTTTTTGCCTATGCACTTACTAGTTATCTCTATTTCATATAATATTTGGATGTTGCAGCTACTGCATCCTATTCTTCATCCGACCTATAATCTATTTGTCTGCAGCTTGCATCCTATTTGTCTACTGAACCTTAATCCTATTCATCAAGTGGTTGGAAAGGAGCCAATCCAAAATGCTAGGAAGGAAGAGGATCTCACCAGCTTCGTTCATGATGCCAGGCTGCCTCCGCCTGGAACCACGGCGCCAACGTCCGGATCTATGCCGCCCTCAGCCATGCACGCGCTAGAGCCCTTCACCTACGGGCACCAGCAGCTGTTGTGCCGTCGCCTGAGGGCACCGGCAGGTGCTGCGCCGCTTCAGAAGCCACTGCAGGCGCTCACCGATTCAAGTGTTGCGCTTCAAAGGCCGCTTTAGGTAGTAGCACGGACCTCCACCGCTACCGCGTGCGCGAGAGGAAAAGGCAGCAACAGCCGACTCTAAGAGAGTGAGGGAGTGAGGCGGCCAGATCTGCTCTGCCGTGGCACCGACGGCCAGATCTGCTCCGCTGTCGGGTTGCGCACTGCTGCCTCCATCCACGCCTGGGGCTGCGCATGCCGCTGCCAGCACATGCTATGAACAGATCGAGGCAGGAGGTGGAGCGGAGTAACACGAATGTGAAGATGGAGAGGGAGAAGCGTACGAGGAGCTGGATCTGCTCGAGGGGCGAATCTAAGCGAAGGATCTCCGGCACAGGCCTAGGCCGGCGCCGCCCACCTCCATGGCTGGGAGCAGCCATGGCGTGCGCCTAGGAGGGTAAGGCGTGGGGGAGGAACATGGGGTGGGCCTGCGCGGGGGAGGGAGAGGCGCATCGGCCCACGCCGCTGGCATGGGAGGGGGAGGTGGCGGGCGTTGGGTGGGAGATGCGGCGGTTGTTGGGGTGGTCTGCGCCGGGTTGGCGCAGAGGAACAGGAGAGGGAGCCAAAAGAGTGAGGGCATTAGGGTTTGGCCAGGTTTTATATGAGTTCATTTTTAGCCGACCAGATCTCAGCCATCCATATCAGATCAACGGCTCTGATCATCCACAGCCTTAATAGGCCTACGGGTTTTAGTGGCCCAAAAGCGAAAGCGAAGCCTAAGCTCAGATTGGGAGCCCGAAAAGCCCAACAAGGCCCAAGCTCAAGTTGGGAGCCTCAAAAGCCCATCAAATTAAAAAATTTAATTTTAAAAGATGAGAACTTCAAATTGTATCTTAGGATACTAAATGAACTCATGTGAAAAATTTGTCAAAAATAAAGTTGTAGAACTCATCGAGATCTACCACTTTTGTTTTGATCATTTCTCCATCCGACTTTGATTGAACTATATAAAATTTGAATTTCAAAATATATGAAATTCAAATAGATTTTTCGGGTAGTAAATCATTTCAAATGGAAAAATTATCAACAACAAAGTTGTATAATGCATCAAGATGTACCACTTTTGTTTTGGTCATTTTTTAATATGTCTTTACTTGGACAGTTTGAATTTGAATTTCAAAATATGACAACTTCAAACAACATTTTCAAATACTAAATGATTTCAGCTGAAAAAGTCATCAACAACAAAGTTATAGAACCCATCGAGATAAACTATACGAGAGATATGTCAATTTGTGATAATGTATAATGGCAATTTGTCTGATGAAGAAACGACTAAAATAAAAGTTGTAGATCTTGATGAGTTCTATAACTTTTATTTTTATGAATTTTTCAGCTGAAATCACTTACTTATTCAAAATGTTGTTTGAAGTTGTCATATTTTAACTTTCAAATATTCAATTGTTCAAGCAAAGTCACATGAAAACATGACCAAAATAATAGTTGTAAGAACACACTAAATTGATAGAGCATGATTTTAGAAAATTTTAGAAAAAAAATCTTCACATTTGATGTTAGTACGAGGAAGAAAGACCAGTTACAAGTTTTAGCCTAAGATTAAAAAGAGAAATCACACTTGTTCTTGTAGAACGTGTGTGATTTCAAGAATAAGTGTTATTTCTCTTTTTAATCTCTGGCTCAAACTTGTAATCAGTCTTTCTCACACATACTAACTTCAAATGTGATGATCTTTTTTTTCTAAAATTTTCTAAAATCATACTCTATTAAGTTATTTTGGTCATCTTTTCATGTGACTTTGTATGAAAAAAATTTAATTTCGATTTCAAAAAATGGCAACTTGAAACAACATATTGAGAGAGTATATGCTTTCAAATTAAAAAGTCATGAACATAAAAGTGGTAGAACACATTAAGATCTACAACTTCTATATTGGTCATTTCTCCATCTAACTTTTTTCAGTAATTCAACATTTGAATTTCAAAATATAAGAAATTCAAACGGAATTTTGGTGTAGTAAATTATCTTAAATGAAAAAGTAGTCAACTATAAAGTTGTCGAACTCACCGAGATCTACAACTTTCGTTTTGGTCCTTTCTCCATATGAGTTAGTTTGAACAATTTAAAAATTTGAATTTCACAATTTGACAACTTCAAATACAATTTTGAGGTAGTAAATGATTTTAAATGGAAAAGTCATCAACATCAAAGTTGTAGAACTCATGGAGATTTACAACTTCTGTCTTATATCGTTTCTGCATCCGACATTGCTTAGACAATTTGAAATTTGAATTTCAAAATATGAGAACTTCAAATAGAATTTTAGTATACTAAATGACTTCAAATGAAAAGTGGTAAACAAAAAAGTTGTAGGCCTCGTCGAGATCTACAACTTTTATTTTGATCATTTCTCCATCCGAGTTTGTTTGCGTAATTCGAAATTTAAATTTCCGAATATGAGAATTTTAAAAAGAATTTTAGGATAGTAACTAATTTCAAATGATAACATCGTCAACAACAAAGTTGTAGAACACATCGAGATCTATAACTTTTGTTTTAGTTATTTTTCCATCCGGCTTTGTTTAACAATTCGAAATAAATAATATTGTGAGTAAAACAAAACTAATATCTATATTCTAACACATAAGAGCACAATATTGTAGTGGTCTTGTGTGTGGCATCAGAATCAAGAGGTCACAAGTTTGATTCTCCATTGGTGCATAATTTTTTTGATGACAGAGAAAACTAACAAATGGCTCCATGGGCATGTTAGCATGCCACGGTGGCATTAAATGTGGCAAAGAGGCACTGTGATGAGTTTTAGATATCAACAGTGACGGTACATAAATTTCATCATAGAATCTAGATCCAAAGTTGAGCTTCAAGAGAACCCATGTCTAGTTCTGTAAATCTGTGGCCGAAAAAAAATCAGTCATAAAAAATTGTCATGGATCAACACAATTCTTGTAGTGTTCAGACTTATTAGAAGATGAGTCAGTGCCCCTAACAATTATGATGCTTGTTCTATCTTGTATTTAGTTCGGAAGAGGTGTAGGTAGCAATGCAATGCTTTACTATTTGGATAGCAATGCAATTGTACATGCTTGTTGCTTAAGTTTGTATCTTCAACTTCAGAGTCCGGGTCGAAGAAGCCACAGAGGAGGCTCTACCAACAGGACAAAAGGCAGCACCGCCATGAGTCCTGGGTGAAGGCAGTCCAATCGAGTGAATTTAACACGACCAGGAGAGTTGACTCATGGAGTTTGTACTCGGAAGGCTGCCGCTAGCAAAAGGCTAGAGGTATCAACACAAGATGAACACAATTCTTCAACACCACCGACACCCGTACTCAGGGATCAATTCTAAATTCATGAATTGACTAGAGACATTTATTGGGACAGCGCCCTACCTACCCCTGTGAGAGACTGTTCACGGCCAGATGATGATAGCCATGCCGAAGAGGAGCTCTCTCAACAAACTCATGTCTCCCCCCACCCGCAGAACAATGGAAGTTACAAAGGTTGGTATTACCTTACAGAGGTCTATCAATCAATTCGCATTAGCTATTTGATATCCATGTTACTTTTTCTAACAATATGAATGTATGAAAACTATGTAGTACCATTGTCGAGAAGAGCAAGGAAGTCGAGGCCTCGAACTCGTGGAATTTTGCTTGACAAAATGAGCAAATCAATGGAAGGATTGAGGATGCCCATCTCTATTGCTAAGGGGAATAGAAGGCCACAAGATCTAGTGCAAGCTGTCAAGTTTGCCTCAGAGACAGGTGTAGTATTCAGGCATCACGTACTATTTTTGACGTATTGGAAACATTATAAGAAGCCCTCCGGCGTCGTCCATTACAAAAATTTTGAAGACAGGCTAAGTGTATGTATGAGTATCCTTCTTCACATTAACTCTGCTTTAAGCAACTTTAACGGATTTACTTTTCATTCATACTACTGCATGCAGTCAAGGCCGGGCATTAACGAGGTTCACCCACCAATATAAGAAGCTTGCTGAAATATATTACAGTCTGAGATACGACAGTCACGCTACATGTTATCATCGCTTGCGTCCATCGCTTAACTATCGATCTCCCTCAAATTAGTTAAGAGCTCTATCGATCTCCCTCTCTCAATCTAATTTGCATATGTGTATATATATATACACATATGTGTAGACTGTAGCTTTACTTTGTGCTAGTAAATTGTTAGTTTTGATAAATCAAATCATGGCCTGCGCGGCGGTCGGCCACCGATTGAGGAGTCGGTGCTGTAGTCCGAGGTGTAGTCGCCGTATTCGCCGCTGTCGAAGGCGATCTGCCTTAGTCGGGAGATGCTGTCGGAGCTACCGCCGGAGAAGAGCACGCTCTGCCCCGGCTTGACGCCGTCCTGGTGCAGATCCTCCAGCGACGCGTCGCCCTCCAGCGCGCGCACGATCTGGCTCATCTTGGGGCGGCGCTTGGCCGAGTGGCGGGTGCTGGCGGCGGCGCAGGCCGCCAAGCGCTCCACCTCCACGGCCGAGTACTCGCCTCCCAGCCGGGCGTCGACGAGCTCGGCGAAGCCCGTCTCCCCCGCCAGCGCGGCGCCCAGCAGCGGGCGCGCCCAGTCCACGAGGCTGTCCTCCATGTAGTTGGTGGTGTCGATGGGGCGGCGCCCCGTGAGCAGCTCCAGCAGCATGACGCCGAAGGAGAAGACGTCCGACCTGTCCGTGAGCTTCCCGCTGGACGCGTACTCCGGCGCCAGGTAGCCGAAGGTGCCCATCACGCGCGTGGACACGTGCGTGTTGGTGTCCGTGGTGAGCTTGGCCAGCCCGAAGTCCGCCACCATGGCCTGGAAGTTGTTGTCCAGCAGGATGTTGGCGGCCTTGATGTCGCGGTGGATGATCCGAGGATGGCAGTCCTCGTGTAGGTAGGCGAGGCCCTTGGCGGAGCCGAGCGCGATCTTCATGCGGGTGTTCCAGTCCATGACGGGCCCGTCCTTGGCATACAGGTGGTGCTCCAGCGTGTTGTTGGCCACGAACTCGTACACGAGCATGCGCTGGTTGCCAGCGATGCAGTAGCCGACGAGCGACACCAGGTGGCGGTGGTGCACGCGGCTGATGATCTCCACCTCCGCCTGGAACTCGCGCTCCCCCTGCCCGCTGCCGGACTTGAGCTGCTTCACCGCCACCTCCTTCCCGCTGCCGGCGAGCACGCCCTTGTACACGTACCCGAACCCGCCCTGCCCCAGCATGTTCGCCGACGAGAAGCTCGACGTCGCAGCCGCGAGCTCCTCGTACGAGAAGGAGCTCTTGGAGAACCCCAGCGCAACGTTGGGTGAGGGTGGAGGGAGGGGAGGACCGTGGGGGCCGGACGAGTACATCTCGCCGCTCAGAGGCGCCGCCGTCGAGCCCGGCGATGGCGACAGCGGGTTCCCGCCGCCGTGCTGGTGCCATCCCGGCGGAGGAGGGATGCTGCCGTTGCTGCCATATTGCTGCCACATGGGCGGCAGACCAGCGTTGGGGTAATACACATTGCCTGCATTTATGCATGCATATATGCATCAATTAATCAACAGTCGTTTAGTTGTGTGTAATAACATATATATAAGCAAGCAAACAACCCCCGTCACCTTTCTCGTCGGTGTAGAAGGGCATGTTCATTGGGGGTGGACGTTTCTTCTTCTTCTTAGCGCAGCACACGCACGCCACGATGGACAACAACAGGGCAAAGCCCACCACCCCAAGCACCACGCCGGTGATCACAGCGCTTGTATTATCTGATGACGACGACGAAGATGACTTCTTCTTCCCATCTTTAGAGCTAAAAGAGGAACTGCCACTTTTTCTCGGTGGCGGTGGCGGTGAGAGTGACGATGATTTCGATGCGGAGATGAAGTCGATTCACCCTTTGGTGGTGAAGGTGAGTTTGTAGATGATTTCGGTGCCGAAGCTGATGCTTGTGATGGTGGTGATTGCTTGGACCTTGATGGCGAGGACTGTGGGGTGGAGGCCATTTATTGGTTTGATCTTGTAGACCGAGGATGGAGCTCTTCCTGCAAACAAACGGGGAGAACTCCACCCCTTGACCTAAAAGCACTATACCTATGTATATACTGCTAAAATATATAGCTAAGAGTTTTAGCTCTTAGCTGTGCTCCGACACCCTGCAAGACGAAATTGAGGGAAAATGTTACAGGTCAATGCTGGCACAAGGTGCAATAATGTTTTTGGATTATTGCATCTCAAATTTGTTGCCAACTGAAGAAGAAAAGGTAATGAAAGGAATTGCTGCAACATTACAAGAGAAATGCATGGTTACATCCGTGTCTTCTTTATGGAGTGTACATGTGCGCTAATGAAATTGACGATTAGGCAATGCCACAACCTACCCCAAATAACAATTTGTAATGCCCTATGTTGTCATGGGCATTACAATCATATGTATACAAAGTAGAACGAGTTAGGACATGAACAAACAAATGAACAACAAGAGAGATCACATAAGGAAATCCCTAAGCTCTTAGAAAACTAATGTTCAAGAAAGAAATGAAACCAGAAATTTAGTCTACGCCTATGCATGTCAAAAAACATCTACCGCACAAAACTCCAAATGAATCCCAAACAAGTCAACGAAGAACCAATTGAATCATGAATTCATATGAACTTGATTAATCTTCTCTGCTGGTAGATATGTACAATTAATATTGTGTACCTTTTCCTTTTCCCTGCAGGTGATTAAGTGATGAGGAGGGAGAAGGAGAAAGGGGTCAAAGGTGGAATGGGGGCGACAGAGAATGAGGGAAGAAGGCATCACGCGCATCTTCCGTGGCGCCATTCAACTACTGCCACATCTATCTCCTTTTATCTCCCATTTTTAGCCACAACTCCAAATACAACCCACATATATATCCCTGCATGTAGGTGCTACTAGATAATTGATATAGTCGTCGAGATGCTGAAATAAACATGTCACGTGTGTATGGTCGTATGACTAAAGACAGGGAGGGATCAATTGGGTCACTTAAAACTAATCTAGGATCTTCTACAGATTTTGCTCAACAAGATAAGCAAACATTCTAAATAAATGTGCAACTAAATTTTGCAGCTTGATTTGGCACAGGAGAGTAGACAACTCACCGCTGAAGAAGAGCTTGAGCTGTGGAGGGGGATAAAGACTCGTAGCTTGGGGTTAGCACAAATAGAAAAAGCAAGGCTAAAACAACACTCTAGGCTAACCTTTATCCGCTTTGGGGATGCAAACACCAAATTCTTCAAAACCAGGGAAAACTCTAGAAGAAGGAAAAACTACATACAATGCTTGCAAACTGAAAGTGGTCTAGTATTTTCACAAGAAGCAAATTAAAGGCGGCAGAGGTGCAGGCCCATTTTGACCGTACCTGTTCACAAAACAGAACCACCACCTACAACTGGACTTCTCTAGGATATAGTGCTAGAGATCTCTCCTCGCTTGGGATTCCATTCTCCCAAGAGGAGATAAAAGAAACCATCTGGGGCATGGCAGCCACTGATGGCGGTTGACAAAGCACCAAGGCCAGACGGCTTCATAGGAGCTTTCTTTAGATAGTGCTGGGATACTATCAAGAAAGATATCCTCTTAGCTTTCAATCAATTATACCACATGAATTCAAATAGCCTACAGCTCCTAAACATGGCAAATACCATCCTTTTTCCCAATAAGGCGAATGCACTTAGGGTTGGAGATTACCGACCAATAAGCCTAATCCATAGCATTGCAAAGATTTTTTCCATGTTATTGGCAAATTGGCTGGCTCCGCACCTTGAAACATTGGTCTCCCCTTGTCAAAGTACTTTTATTAAAAAGCGATGCATCCAAGACAACTTCCTGTACACCTAGAATATGGTGCGCTGGTTGCACAGAGCAAAAAAAAACCTCGCTCTTCCTCAAATTGGATATCCACAAAGCTTTTGATATAGTAAATTGGGCATACCTCCTTGAGTCCCTTGAAGCACTTGGCTTCGGCCCGAGATGGAGGGAATGGATCTCCATGCTCTTTAGGACATCAACTTCCAGGGCCCTCCTAAATGGGCAACCAAACGAGAATTTTAAATACAAAAGAGGAGTCAGACAAGGGGATCCTCTCTCGCCGATGTTGTTTATCCTTGCCATCGATCCGCTGCAAAAACTCCTAGACTTGGCAACCCAGAATGGTGTCCTCACCCCCGATAACACTTCAAATGGCCAAATTCGGAACCTCTCTTTATGCTGATGATGCAGCCATCTTTTGGAACCCAGTGCGAGATGAATTGGAGAGGCACTTCAACGTATCCTTCTTACTTTTGTTTAGGTGTCAGGGCTCATCACCAATTTTGACAAGAGCATTGTCCATCCAATAAGATGTGAGAACTTAGACCACAATTACATCTTGCAGCCTTTACAAGGGGAAAAGAAAACCATTCCATGGACACCAACTACACATATGTGCACTTCAAAGAGTCCATGTGCAGCCTCTAATTGAAAAGATTGGCAAGAGATTGCCAGGTGTAACAAGGCTGGCAGACTTACTTTGGTCACTTTAGTTTTGTCCTCCATGCCTACCTACTTCCTCACTATTTTCCCTCTACCAGCATGGGCATGCAAAGATTTGGACTGGATTGGCAGGTTATTCCTTTGGAAAGGAAAAGAGAGAGCAAGCGGATGCCAGGAAATCTAGCAAAGAGAGGAAGGCCACATCAAACTTCTTGTGTGCTTTATCAGGGAAACAGGAAACTGGCCTCCATCTGTGTCTCTTGTCCCTTCGCAATTGATGTTTGGAGGAGGGTGCTAGTGTGGGGGATTTCTCCTTACCTCTGCATGTACAAGCTGCCAATTACATCAGCATTAAAGATTGGTGGGAAGCTGCAGTACAGACAATACCAAAAGATAAAGATGACACTTCAACAGATTATGCATCTACATCATGTGGAATTTGTGGAAAGAAAGGAATCGATGAATTTTCCAAAATGATTGATTCACGCCTATATCGGTTGTGCTACGTACAAAAGAGGATTTTGATCAATGACAACGTGCTTTTCAAAGCTAGTTTTGGGGGCTTTTCATCTTGTTTTTGTTTCTTTGAGGGTTGGCTCTCTCAAGAGCTTGTGGTTGTCCTGTAGCCTTTTGAGGCGTGGGTGCCACTGACGCAAAACCTTCTAGTTTTCTTACTTCAATGCAAGGCAGAGCTCCTGCCATTTTTCTTTCAAAAAAATAGTTTTGAATTCAAGAGTCAATCCTTAAGATTCTGCTCAATATAAGCAAACATTCTATATAAATAATGCAACAAGCAAAGGTTTGACAAGCGATGTGCAAACACATGGGATGAAAGATTTATCTTGTGATATTCATAGATAATTCGCTACCCTAGTCTACCTTGGAGGTCCACCAAGGATATGCTCCTAGCCATCAAGTCTCTCTAGGTCAAGTTCTTGGATTCACCACAAATGGCTT